ACAGTGAAGTGCTATTATCTGAATCTTTTCCCACTGACCATAATTATATCAGTAGATACTGGGCTGATACCCACTTTCTATCTCAAATTATTGTGTGATGATACTTACAGTATGATATATATACAGTGAATAATAAGTGCTCCGGGTTTCATAGTGCTAATGTTTAATTTCCTCCATCTCTCCAATGTAATTTTGGTAGTTGGAAAAATCTTTGAAACTCCAATGACCATTGGGTTTCTTGAGCATGTTTTTGATGTTCTCTTAGGCTCTGGAGAGTTGTTTTGTCTGAAGTAAGTGATAGATGATATGTTGGGGTTGCTCTGGATCAGGTGGAAATTAAATGATAAAAATAATAATGATGATAATAAGTTTATTTGAAACATTGCAACCAAACGGTTGGAGTTATCCAGGTTACCAATTGAGCTTGAATAAAAATATTAAGTAAAATATTTACATAAAATGAATGGTTAAGGTACATTTTCAGTTTAATTGTCATAAATACTATAGCACCATGCTATCTCAGCTCCATGCTATTGGGATTTCTATCCATAAGGAGCCAATCTAATCCCTCTGTTGTCCCACCCACTGCCATTGGTTTAGTTCTGTCCAATGATGGCGCTAGCATTTAAAATTAAATGGTCGTTACTTGATTGTGAATGTATCTGTTACTGTGTATTACTGTGAGTAATTTTTCTAAAATGCAACCAGATTTTGCTAATTTCTGATTTCTCATTATTGAGTTAACATTTAGTTTAAATTAGGAAGAAATAGTCAGTAGATATCACTTTCCAAAACTCATCCCATTTGCCGTAATTGAAAGTAAAGACAGAAAAGGAAGATTATGCAATGCAACATCAAACAAGAAGAGATCTTTAATAGGAAGTATTTCTCTACAGAAATACTTACATAACATTTCAATTTCATTTCGATCCAAGAAATCATAACCTGAAGTATGTATCAATTTGAGTGCATTGTTATTATGCCCAATATTGCCCATAATTAAAACACCAGCCTGTAATCCCTTGGCTCTCTCAAGATACTGTAATTGAATTAATTAAGCCCATAGATAAAGTCTAGAATCCTGCTGGGATTATGACTGCTAATGAGTGGAAGTGATGCAATCTTATCAATTAATTAAGGATAAGCATATGATACAGGAATTAGCATGGGTGGGCAGCTTAGCAACAGACCAGAGCACCTGTTTACAGGAATTGCACACTGAGTTCAAAGTAATTTGATTACTTATACTGTCTAAAGCCTTGCATGTCTTTTTTAGGGGTACTTGATGTTAAAAATTCACAAGGTGAATTTAGTTTATTTTAGAAAGTACATCTTTAAGAGAAATGAAAAAATGATAAGCATGTTGTAAAGATGATTATTTTTCTTTTTTGGAAAGGTGTATGACATTTTTTAGTAATAAATGTAGCAGGAGATTGGATTCTGTCTGTTACTTTTATAGTGCTGCCCAGATTGCATGATTTTCTAAAGATTTTATAAGGAGAGGATTTTTTCAAAATGCATTTCACAAGAATTCTGGCTGATACATGTTTAAATTTTAATGTTAAATATGACATGATCCCAGCACATAGTTTGCCAGGAGCAAAAAATTTGCACTTTCACAGAATCTTGCCTTTAAGATCTATAGACCATGAGCTTTGTTGCAAGCATATTAGGAGTTAATAGCAGTTATTTCAATAAAGAAGTTACTTAAATTTTTTTGTATAATTTCATTAATTTTCTTTAAGTGCTCCCATATTTGAAAAGAAAATGGAGGACGCGCTCTCTCGCTCTCTTAAATGTTGGACAACTTGTTTGATGTTTTCTGAAGCATGGAATAAAATGCATATTAAAGTATTGTTGGTGCAGAAAATGAGCAATTTATCAAGAGAAGTGTCAGGGGTTTCATCAGAACTCTGTATGCAAACTGAGCGGGGAGTCCATTTGATACAGTAGTATGATAGCTCCAATAGCTGTAGGAGACATTGGGTTCACATTAATACACAGTGTTAAGCTGCATTTAGACAGGCAGAATCTTTTCTGGACTGAGAAAAAGTAAAAATTACAGTTGTATGTTTAAAAGAAGGAAAAGAAAAAAGAGGGAGAGACAAAGAAATAAAAACTGAAATAAAGGTTGATATTAAACAGTCTGGAGACAGCAAGGTCTGATTGTGATCTGGTCATAATATGACACAAGCGGGGCCTATTTTTAGTTTAAATAGAACTGTCTGAAAGCACCCTCAAGGCAGCATGTTCAACGAGTGTATGCATGCATGAAATGTGTTTTGATGAACTCTCACGCTTTATACACTATGGAGGTGATATGAAGAATTTGTGGTCATTTTTCACCTAAGTTTGTGGGCCATTTTCAAAGCCTTTGTGTCATAAAATATTAAAAAGGTATTGTATGATCTATGATGTGTTAGGTTTTCTGACATATAGGGTCAAACCATTTGATTCAGATGATTATTATGGCTCAAAGAAATGAAAATTTTTATTTGTTAGAGCAAAACTCTCTGTTTAGATGAAGTAAGAAAACAAAGATGTAACTGAAATAGTGCTGCCTGTTATATTATGTTTAAATTACAGAAAAAGTTACCACTGATTTGTTAGCAGATCCTTTGCTATGATCTTGATGAATATATGACCAGACAGGGATAATGCCGCTCTGATCTCAGTCATTACACAAATTACAATGTGCTTGTTGAAATGGTATTTTTAGCTAGAATCAATTAGTTTATTTCTAACCCTATAAACAGTCTAAATAAGCATGATGACCCACTAGTGAAAATATGAAATAAGAGGGAATTTGTCTCAGTTCAATACAAATTGACTTGCTTTACTATATGTCTATTAATATAAAGTGTGGTTAGTTCAATTATTACACACCATTCTCTGGAGTGTTTTATATTTAACAAATTTGCCATTAATATAAACATATGCACTTTTTGACATGAACCCAAACTTAAGAAAAACAGCCTTTAAATCATTATCTCGAAGTATGACTAAATTATGTAAGAAGACATGTACATATGGGAATATGATTTATTAGTTATTGCTTGAAATTAATGAATAATCACCATATTTGTCAGTGGTTGTCTGTATTGCCATTAACTCGACCAATATAGCTTAAAGAACAAAGACAGTGAAAGCCATTTGTATCCAGGTGCTTTTGTCTGATTAAGAGGGAATATCATCCACTTAACCAACATGTTTTTCTCCACAGTGACAGGAAACTATTGAAGCCTGGAATGTACTTAGAAAGGCTTTTTATTCTAGTATTTGTGGTTAAAAGTGATCATGTGTGAAACACAATCTTTATCTTTATGTCTTTGATGAGAATTCAAACACTTGTATGAAAAAATGTCACTTTTTACAAAAAGTATACAGATTAAGAAATAATATATGGAGTTTGAAAGAGAGTTTGGTAAAGGAGTTTTTTCAAATCTGTCTACATCACTGAAGTCTGTGTGGTCAGTCATATGTGATGAACATTTTCAAGTGTTTCTGTCAGGTCTATTCTCAATGTGAAGACAGGATGTGTGGGATGGTTTGGTTGTAGACTTCTAAATATTCTCATCTTCTAGACATACTTGTAGGACCTGTGTCACCTTGGTGGGTCCAGCCTGTGTAATTATTCTTGGAAATTTCATGATTATCTCCATTCAGTGAGTTAGTAATTTTTCAGTGAGTAATTACTAGTTAGTAATATTTTACATGTCACTTACAATCAAGAAGTTTTATTATATCTCTGTGATGTGATGGAATAAATTTATGCTGTGCAATCAACCCATTGTCGTATGTTTGGCTCCACTACTGTAGAGTGGAAAGAGAATTTAAAGTTGGCAGTACTTTATGATATAACCTTCTACATACCCTAGGGAAATAAACTGCATTAAGTCATGTGTAGAACTTAGCACCATCATCTGTGAATGCATTATTTGTTATTTACGTATTTTAGCGCAAAACTATTGCAAACAAGCAGTCCTTGAATGCTGTCACATAGCATAATTGATGGAACTAGCACTTATTGTGCCGCAGGACTTGTCAACTAAACTGAACTGTTGAAAAACACTCTAATTTATTTGTCATTGGTCCAAACATCACCATAGTTATTATTTGTGAATGCATGTCAGAGCTGATGCATGTTAAAGGAGCTGTCCAGGAAATTTATTCAGCAAGTGCTGAAACCCTCCATTCGGGGGAATGAATCTGTATTAGTGTAGAAATTGTTTGTCCATTATCTTTTGAACTTAGAGCTTACTTTGAATCCAAAATGAAAGAAAAATAGAAAAAAATTAAGGTTGTTTGAATATGGGTGTGATAATTCAATAATATAAGTGCCTCAGAGTTAATGAAAATATTGCACAGATAGAAAAACCCATTTGTCGTGTATACTGTGGTATATATATGGAGAAAAAAATTGGAGAACAAAATGTGTCAACCACTAACTGTGTTGTGACACAGGAGAAGTATGTAAAGTGAGAGATGATGGAACTAAGTGAGCTAATTAACAACGCTCCCTACAGATGGAAAAGTGATGTCACAAGATTGTATTACATCTAAGTTTTGTTCTTCAGGATGTTGAACAAAATGCATTTGTCGTAACGATAAAGGTGACAATTTTGTTGGGAATCCAGGCTTGAAATTGTAGCATGACTTCAAATAGGCTGTAGGTTTATGTGGTTAAGTTTGTGCACAATGCTCTGGTACTGGGACAGAAAATTAGAAAGTGTCAGAATTGGGGAGTTGGGAGGGGAGGGGAGAAAATGGACTTCTAAGCAATGCTCTTTTACTTGTGCAGAACATTATGAATATGTTATTATATATGAAGAGAAAAATAAAAGCATAACAATATTTAATTGGATAAAATGAAAAAAAAAGTTAACATATTATTATCTGATCTTAGCTCTTCTCTTTTCACTTACTGTGTATTTTTATGAAATTATATCCACAAATATTAATTCAATTTTATTTTAAACATTCCCTTGTTTCTTCCACAGATGGTTTGAATGAAGCCACAGCCACCTGTCAGCTCTCAGTGATGTTGGTGACAGAGGACATGTTGTTAAACAGCATCACTGTGCGTCTTAACGAGATGGACGAGACCGCCTTCCTCTCCCCTCTCTACGACTTCTTCATCAAAGCTCTCGGAACCATAATCCCGGCAGATATTCAGGACATCTTTATCATCAGTATACGAGATGACACTGACGTACCTGAAAAAGTTCTCAATGTGAGCTTTTCCGTGAGGGAGAAGGTGTTGAACAGTCAAGACTATTTCTACAGCCAACAGTTTCTGAAGGAAAGAGTTTACCTACAAAGGAATCTACTGGCAAAGCTGTCAACACTTGAGGTATGTAAATATAACTTTTCTTTATTCTTTTGTACATAAAATATATTTGCATGTGTCACTGGATACTTAATGTACATGCCTATGTTTGGAAAAAAAAGGGGCAGTAGGGATAAGACAATCAACAAACTTTAACTTTTCAGTGGTGGATAAATTTTGTGTTTGCATGCATGCATGTGTGCACATTTTCTGGCGTGCATGTGCTTTTGGGAAGGGTAGTGTTAGAGACTGGATTTGCTTGGACGGTTTTACTGGCAGAATTCCATCTTTGAGTATATTTTTCTAAATTTTTTTATGAATAACTACCTTTAAGCAGTGTGTTGGAGAGATCCCAAGAACAAGGTTGTCATCTCAGTAGTATCTCCTCACACTGATTAACAGACTGGTGTTAGTCAGTGTGTGTGTGTGTGTGTGTGTGTGTGTGTGTGTGTGTGTGTGTGTGTACATGCATACATGCATGTGTGTGTGAAATTTGAGGTAAAAGATGCAAGAATCTGCTGCAAAACCTTAAAACAAAGCTGAGCACTCCAGATCTCTTTGACTCAAGAGCAATGGTCCAGGCCAAAAATAATCGAAATATAGAGTTGAAATTAATGCTGTGAGTCTCATGGATTGGTCATCTCTTTTTAAGATGAAGAAAAACTTAAAAGCCAATAGTCCTTGGTGACAGATTGTTAATCTGTCTGCACCTTAAACTTCTGTCACCATTGGTCACTAGAACTTGTTGACCTCATATAAGACCACTGGTCAGCTAGTTACTGTGAATAATCCAAAAAAAAAAAAAAATTGCCAGCCTGATACCAAACCAGTTGCCTTAGACTGAATTGTAATATTGTTGACTGGTTAATACCAAGTCAACTATCCATCCAAAACCTCCCCCCATTCACCTCTGTTCTTCACGCTGTACCACTATATCACTCAGGACTGAAGAGAGTTTGAAGTGCACTCTACTTCTCCAGTGTGGCCTGCCATTCAAACCAGCCATTATTTATTACCCTCAATCCAATTTCTTCACAGTCCTCTCCTCATGCCCCCCTTTCACAACTCTCCTTATCACAGCCCATTGAATGTAACACATTTTTATTCTAGTTCACTTGGTGTTTGGAAAGGATTCAAATACACTGTATCTTATTCTTTGTTACATCAGGTATGTTTGATTCAGCAGGGCTTGTTGAAGGTTTTTGTGTACTCCTAGATATGTGGGACCTAAAGCAAACCTGAACTACAATGGACTAGGTTGTTTTGCGTGATGGTTGAAATAAGTTGGTATGGTTTGATTGGTGGTGAGTTTTGTTGGCGGAGGACGTTTATATCAACTGTGGTATTTCATACACCATTGATGGAATTCTTTTGATATTTACCCAGCAGTTTTGATATCTCTGTGGTTTGATTGTAAAATGACTGAAAACTGCTTGTTTTGAATGTTCTCAAGAAAGCACTAAAAAGCTTTGAAAAACAATCTGACAGAATATTAGACCAAAATGTTGAAACTTCACAAATGAACAGGAGGGAAACAGGCTGATAGACAGCCCACAGACACACTATGCACAAAGTACCCCAATCAGCATCAAATTTTACCCTGAAATTTCTCTGCTAATCAGTGCTGTATACCCCACTGTAACCCATTGACTGTCGGTGCTTTATGTTTTGAGTCAATAAGTACGTCTATGTTTACTGCACATAGTAAACATCACAATTTCTGGCCACTGCAGAAGCGGTGTTTCACATGCATTTAGGAATATTACATGAAGCTATGAAAGACAGCAACTGTCTAATTTACCTGAAGCTAGTGTCAGTCCGAGTCTCAACCTAGCATCAGAATTGTTCAGTTTATCATTTTTTTCAAGACCATGTCAAAGCAACTTGTTTGCACAAAGTGCAGCACATATTGAATATTATCATGCTTTGCGTAAGGCGAAGGCTGAATTTTTCTGACATTCAGGTCATTTTATTCAGTGCAGCACTCTCTGTCTGGGATTTAAGTTGGTAAAAGTGGAACAGTTTTTTAAGCTAAACTAGAAAATGTTGCTGTTTGACATTTACATGGTGTATAGAAAATTGCAGTTTGGATTAAGGGCAGTAAATTTGATAGTGTCAATTTTATTTCATAATAGGCTTGTGAATGGTACAATTTGGTAGGTAAAGTTGAGATAATTTGGGAAGTTCTGGTTAAGAAAAAATATTTGAGTTTACACCCCTCCAGGCCAAGCCAAAACTTTGTCAACACATTAAGTTTGTCTTTGCCAGGAGGGTAATGTGACACTGCATGATACATGCTTCCACTGCAGATGTTCTGACAGCAATGGGTCACATCTGCCAGCTTGCACTTAAGTTTTTCTTACCTGGAGGGCTTACTCAGAAACCTCAGGCCTGTTCACATGAGAACCAATTTGGACCGAGAATCAGTCTTTCTTGTGTGATCACACAAGCAGGGATTTAGAAGTCTAAGGGACTCTTTGTGTGGAGGTAGTAATTATAAACACTATAAGAACACTGTAACGACCTTTAAATTACTTTAAAAATTTGTCTGCTGTTTGACAATTGAAGTTCTACTTATGGTCTGAATGCATTCGTGGCATTTTCACTCTCATTGGCTGAACCATCACCTGAAGTTAGGGTGCTCCCTTTTCATTACACAATCCATCATCTTGAGTGCATAACACTGACTTTTTACTCAAAACATTTGCTGTGGGTTTAAACATTTACTTTGTCCATTGTGATCTAGACCACAAACTGAGCAGACGGTGTTTGGTATTTATGTAGGAAACTGCTACCAGGGGGCACCAGTCACAACACACTTTCAAGACAGGTGTCAGCAATGGTGTGTGTTTCCCTAGTACCCCAGGGGTTATTATTTTAATCCAAGTTTAATGGCAAACACAAGCAGAACAACTGCTCCTGCTGTCTGTGCCTTTGCCATGGCTAATTCAGCAGTAAATTGATGGAAGTCACTGAATTCAGGTGGAAAAGAAAATGATACCCAGTTGCCCGACTGTAAATCCACTTGATCAAGATAATAAATAATGTTCTTTTGGCATTCAGTTCTCTTTTTGATGTTACAAGTGTTTTAGATAGCTTACTTAATCATGTGAAAAGATAGCAGTTTGTGATTAATTTTTCCAGGAATTTTTTAGTTGTCGCGTTGATGTTTGTGTAGCAATTATACACTGCTCTTTAATGATGGAAAAAAACAAGTGAAGGCTTGTGTTTGGAAGTTTATGTTCTATAGTAATTATGCTAAAAGAACAAATAGTGAAGTAAAAAAAATGTTACTTCAAAAAAGTGGAAATAAAAAATAATTATATTTGTAGTTGTAAGCTTTGATGACTTGGTCAAAATATTGTTTTCTTATTTTTACTTTATGAAATAACCATTAATTCAAAATTTTCTATTTCATTACAATTTTTATCTTCAGGTTCTTCCTTTTGATGATAACATCTGTGTGCGTGAGCCCTGCCTCAACTATGAAGAATGCATCGATATCCTGAAGTTCGGCAATGCGTCTGGTTTCCTCAGCTCTCCCACCATGTTGTTCCGTCCCATATATCCCATTGAAGGGTCAAAGTGCATCTGCCCGGCTGGATTCACAGGTTGGGGTTTGTTAGACTGATCTCTTATTGGGCTAGAATTTCGCTTCACAGCCCCATAAATTTCTCTCCACATCTCTACATCAGGGGAGTTTAATCAGATTGATTCTGTTTTATTTGCTTATAATTTCGCTACAAATACCACCTTAATATTTAAAAGAAAATAAACAGACTCTGTTGCATTAAGCCATGTAAACATTGTGGGCTTTTTGTTGAATGATGGACTTTTAGAAGCTATTCAGATTATTAGATGCAGTGTTTTTCACATGTGTTAGTGTAATGAAACAAAAAATAATGATAAAAGTTTGACTGACCTTTCATGTTGCACAGGTGTCATCTGCCGTTCCAAGTGTCAATTTGACTTTTGCATGACAATTTGTAGTCGCATAGAGCATTGGTATTTGCTGAAAAACATCTGCTGGACATTTCTTTTTGAAAATGAAGCTCAGAAACTCAGCTTGAGTTTTAATTATAATATATGCCTTGTATTCCTTATATTATGTAATATCGCAAGAGATATATGATAAAAACAGGTTTGTTGAGAACTAGATGTACAAGTTAAATGACAGGCTATCTAATCTACATAGATTTCAACTATTTTATATATACTTACTACATGTATTGGAAAATGTGTAAGAAATGTTATTAAAATTTATTTCCTTAGTTAGTATGTTGTGAAATTTTTTTCATTAGGTTATTAGTTAAAACAAATTTGTTTTAATTTCTGTCCATTTTTAGGAATGAACGTGGAATATGAATGCGACACAGAAGTGAACCTGTGCTACTCCAACCCCTGTCAGAACAATGGAACTTGCTTACGACACGAGGGCGGCTACACATGCATTTGTCTTACAGGGTTCACAGGTGAGTCAATCTTTGTTTTGTATTGGCAGTAATTCTGAGATCCATCATTAGATTTTGAAGATAGGGGCCGTCTTACACACATTACACAATACAACATCACTGTATGTTTGTTGCTCATTTTATCAGCCCAACATGATAGCAACAGGATGTTTTACCATGTAATTACATGGCAATTTAAGTTGGGACTGTGTTATTTTCTTTCCCTAATGACAACTCGATTATTTTTCCATAAGCAATATGTGGTTAGACGATGGCATTACATGGCTTGTTTTATCATGTCACACATTTTACTACCAGCTCAATTAAAAATCACTTTGCTTTAATGTGCTGATTGCAGATTAATCATTATAAGTATAGAACAAGGTCCAGAATAACTATTTTGTATCTGAGTATTAGAGTAGGGATTTTTGTTGCGTTTATAAAAGAACCTGCTGATATCGTCTTTAGTCTAAACCTAAATAAAAGTTACCAGGAGAGGGATTTTTTGATAAAAGATGGAAGTTTGATAAATAAAATTTGTAAATAATTAATTTATTTATAATCAGTAATTTGTAAAGTCTTATAGCTTTTAATC